TAATTGACTTATAATTTCTTCAAGGGTTATATAATGAAGTAGTTGAAATTGGGTCATTTTTCCTGCATTTGTTTTGTTTGAGCATAGCATTGATACTGGCTTTGGAGAGGATGTGCAGATTAATCCTCTGATCTTTTGAATTTTCTCTGGAAAGAAACTGGAAAACTTGTTGCAGGCATTAGATTGAAGTTCAGATGGCAACATCATAGGAGGATTTGTGAGCTTGTCAACAGTAGCAAATAGACCTCGAGCATTGTTAAGGTTTTTGTTTATGACATCTGCAAAGAAAGCCTCTCTTGCATGTTTTAGTGTTGAGTGATAGTTACGTTGTCTTTCTTCGTAGATGTCATAATAAACATGCAGTTGAGTTTTACTCCATTTCCGTTCGGCCCTACGGCAGAGTTGTCTTGCAGATAGAACTGCTTGTGCATTTTTCCATGGAGATTTCTTCCTACCAGACACAACCTTCACTTGAATGGGGGCAGTGTAATCAATGATATCTGAAAGTTTGCACTGAAAATCATCTACCAACTTATCTACGTCATTATAGCTTAAGGGTGAGGATGAAGAGTAGATTTGATTAAATGTTTCTGCTGTGTTTTCTGTGAAAGTACATTTTGTGATAGTAGCTTTTTGTCCAAGTGGGTTAACGGATAAAGAACATTCAAAGATAACAGCAAAGTGGTCCGACAGGGCGACATCAGTTACAGAGACATTGGAAATATTCACACCCTTACTGATAAACAGATCCAGTGTGTGTCCATGAGTGTGTGTTGCTTGTTTGACATGTTGTGTTAAACCAAAACTCTCCAATATATTAAGGATATTTTTTGCCCCTCGGTCTTGGGGGTTGTCAACATGAATGTTGAAATCACCGACGATTATTAAACAATCATAATCAATGCATATAAGAGATAGAAGTTCATTCAAGTCCGTAAAGAAACCTTCCACATATGTTGGAGTTTTGTATAAAATTAGTGTCAAAGTTTGTGGCCTTTTAGCTCAATTCCAAGATACTCAAAAGACGTGAAATTGCCCAAAGAGATTTTACTACAATTTATAGTATTCTTAAATATTGAAGCCACGCCTCCTAAGAGCGTTCTTCTAGTTCTCATTGGTTGTTTTGGTCAGAACGGTGCATTACTTTAACCAGTAATAGTAATTCAGGAAGGAGGTGGAGGAGATTGATTGTTTTCACAGATTATCTGTCTCATAACAAACTGCTACGACATGGTGACAGCTTTAAAAAATATGGAGAAAACATATTTTTTTATTAAAGTTATGAACTTCAGCTTTAATAAAATGCAACTACATAGCATTTTTGAGAAGTCTGGATTGTAGAGCTGGTCCATTGTTCCACGACCAGGACAAAAACCACACTGTTCTTCCTGAATCTGAGGTTCGATTATCCGACGGACCCTCCTCTCCAGGACCCCTGAATAGACCATACCAGGGAGGCTTAAGAGTGTGACCCCCCTATAATTGGAGCACACCCTCTGGTCCCCCTTTTTGAACAGGGGGACCACCACTCCAGTCTGCCAATCCAGAGGAACTGCCCCAGATGTCCATGCGATACTACAGAGTCGCGTGAGCCAACACAACCCTGCAACATCCAGAGCCTTAGGGAACTCCGGGCGGATCTCATCCACCCCTGGGGCCCTGCCACCGAGGAACTTTTTAACTACCTCGTTGACCTCGTCCCCAGAGATTGGAGAGCTCAACCCAGAGTCCCCTGGCTCAGCTTCCTCAATGGAAGGCATGTTGGTGGGATTGAGGAGGTCTTCGAAGTATTCCGCCCACCGGGCCACAACGTCCCGAGTCGAGGTCAGCAGCACACCATCCCCACCATAAACAGTGTTGGTGCTGCACCGCTTCCCCCTCCTGTGACGCTTTTTCCATGTCTTTTTGGAAGTCATGGAAGTCTTTTTCCATGGCCTCTCCAAACTCCTCCCACGCCCGAGTTTTTGCCTCAGCAACCACCCGAACCGCATGCCGCTTCGCCTGCCGATACCCATCAGCTGCTTCAGGGGTCCCACAGGCCAAAAAAGCTTGATAGGACTGCTTCTTCAGCCTGACGGCATCCCTCACCAATGGGTTTGAGGGTTGCCACCGCGACAGGCACCGACAACCTTGCGGCCGCAGCTCCGATAAGCCACCTCGACAATGGAGGCACGGAACATGGTCCACTCAGACTCATTGTCCTCTACCTCCCCTGGAACGTGTTCGAAGTTCTGCCGGAGATGGGAGTTAAAGCTCCGTCTCACAGGAGACTCTGCCAGACGTTCCCAGCAGACACTCACAACACGTTTGGGCCCGCCAGGTCTGACCGGCATCCTCCCCCTCCACCGGAGCCAACTCACCACCTGGTAGTGGTCATTGGACAGCTCCGCACCTCTCTTCACCCGAGTGTCCAAGATATACGGCCGCAGATCCGATGAAACGACGACAAAATCGATCATCGAACTGCGGCCTAGGGTGTCCTGGTGCCAAGTGCACATATGGACACCCTTATACTTGAACATGGTGTTCGTGATGGACAATCCGTGACGAGCACAGAAGTCCAACAACAGAAAACCACTGGAGTTCAGATCGGGGGGCCGTTCCTCCCAACCACGCCCCTCCAGGTCTCACCGTCATTGCCCACGTGAGCATTGAAGTCCCCCAGCAGAACAAGGGAGTCCCCAAGAGGGGCACTCTCCAGTACCCCCTCTAAGCACTCCAAGAAGGGTGGGTAATCTGAACTGTTGTTCGACCTGTAAGCACAAACAGTCAGAACCCGTCCCCCCACCCGTAGGCGGAGGGAGGCTACCCTCTCGTTCACTGGGGTAAACTCCAACGTACAGGCGCCAAGATGGGGGGCAACAAGTATGCCCACTCCTGCCTGGCACCTCTCACCGTGGGCAACTCCAGAGTGGAAGTATGAAAAGTATGGAAGGTAAAGGACTTCTTGTCCATATTACAAAATCACAATCTCTGAAGTTTTTGGTTGTAACCTTAAAGGTGAATAGGTTGAAGGTGTATGGTAACTTTTGTCTTGGGCATAAATTAACTTTCCTCTTTTTTTAAATTTATCTACAATGGCTCTAATACACCGTAAGAAGACTATGTGTATGTATAAGACTATGTGTATCCTGCTTGTTTTAATCTAGAGAAGTGTATGTTTTAAAAATGAATGAGACGTCCCTCTGTGCGGTCTGCCCTTTGCAGAGCAGCAGCAGCCAGCCAGCCAAAGCGTCCCAACAGCAGCAGCAGCAGCCGTCATCCTCCCCCACCCTGCTGTCCAGCCCCAACCAGAGCAGCTGGGAGGCCCGGCCCCTGCCGGCCCCGGCGAGGCCAAAGGTCAACAGCATCCTCAACCTGTTTGGCCAGTGGCTTTTCGACGCTGCTCTTGTTCACTGCAAACTGCACAGCGGCCTGAGCCGGGACCCCAGCATGACTGGTAAGCAGGGAGCCTGTGGGCCGCGGAACTTTCAGCTGATTGCATGGTACCAGTCTGCGTGTTATGTTGCTGTTCATTAGTGTGTTTATTTTTTCTGTTGTGGTGGTGGTCTGTTTTTATCGTGAGTTGTTGGGATTTGTTTTCTTTATTTATTTTTTTCACTGTCTCTGAATCTTTGTTGTTTCTGTGTGTGGAGGGCTTGGTTAGAAGTGGCCATAGATGAGATTTTTATCCGATCCTGATCCATTTTGCATCAGACAGCTAATCTAAACCTGGCTAATGCTACAACTATATTCTATGGATTTGGTTTACAGTGACGTTCTATTAAAAGTCCCCAAAAGCACTTATTGCTTTTAGTTTTACTAAGTACTTTGGTTTCATAATTGATTCTCCTTATCTCTTCTTTTTGATGTAATGTCCTGCACGTGTCTACCATGTCTGAGATACTGTCCAATACTTTCAGTGGGTCAAAAGTCATGTATCAAACAAAACAACTAGAAAAATACAATGAATTGATCCCAAAATATTGGATCTGCTTTGATTTTTGTCTCTCTTCACTATTTCTGTTATCTTGCAGCCTCTTTTATCCAAATTCTCCTTTCTTATAAATCTTGTAAGTAGGAACGGCAGCTTCTTTTCCTCACTTGATTTGCGTTTCTTGACAAATCTTCCTGCTTTTCAGTTGAATTTCTCATGACCATTGCCATTACCACCATGGTTTCATGCCCCCCCACTCCTTGTCATATATATATAAATTAAAAAAGACCACCAGCGTTCGTTCAACGCTTTTCCAAAGGTGATGAAATGGATTTCACCTACTGACCATTTGTCTAAACCATAATGTCTCCAGTTTGTTGACACCATTTTCCCATTTCAGTTTTTCTCTTTGTTTGAATCATGCTAATCTATTATTGCGTTTCAGACCCTCCCTCTACTTCTGCATTATGTTTTGGTTTGTGTAATTTTTTATTTATTTATTTATTTATTTATTTATTTATTTTAATGTGTTCAGTTTGAGTTGTGACTTTTTTATTTATTTATTTTTTTTAATTGGCTTGATGCCTCGGTGCATGAAGTGAATGATCTGTACTTCAGGTGACCGTCATGTTAACTGCGACATCACAAAAAGCTGACACAGGGATTTTGCTTTGCCACTTTGAATGATCCAGTTTAGCACGACTTACACTACATGTAACACACAGAGGTGCAGCTTGAATGGCAAACTCTTTGTGTCAGGTTTTCCTTCTTGAATGCTCTTGAAGAGGAGTGTCTGTTTGGAGTCACTGTAGTCTGTTTTTCCTTCTCTTATCTCAATAAATGTCTTCTTTTTATTTGCTTTGATGTGTTGGATATCTACGGATGGCTTTTTCCATTCAGCTGTAATAGATCTGTTTGTGTTTGCCTGTCTCTAATACCTGCATGCTTTTAAGAATGAGCACATTGCCCCGGTCCTCTCATTCCCTGTCTTCCTGCTCGCCACAGCGATAGCCACTCAGATGGGCCTGGAGCTGAGGAGGAAGGGTTCCCAGATGTCTACCGACTCCATGGTGCCCAACCCGCTGTTCGACATCAATGAGTTCCCTGAGAGCTATGAGGCAGGACGAGCCGAGGCCTGCGGGACGCTCTGCCGCATCTTTTGTAGCAAAAAAACCGGAGAGGATATTCTTCCTGTTTACCTGTCGAGGTGAGGAACGCCGCAACCTGAATGTGTGCTGCGTTCACATGCAGGCTGTACAAGTTTGAAAGGCTATGGATTTACTTTGGTTTGTATAAGTGTGATTTGATGGAGTGTTTGGGCCAGATAAGGAGATTTTATTTAAATTACAAGAAGATAATATTTCCAGAAGAACGTCATAAAATTACTGTTTTAAGTTAAATTTTGTTTCGTGCAAGTGTTATCAAATTACGACTTCATTCTTCTAATATTACAACTTTATTCTGGTAACATTTATTCTTGTATCATTTCTAGTTTTTCGTCATATGAGTATGACTTTGTTCTGGTACATTGAGTTTATTCTTTATTCCTGTGATATTATGACTTTATTCTCATAATTTAATTTTTCTGTCTTAGTTGGCCCATTGTAGTGTGGCAAAGAAATATGAAGATTTCTGTGTTTTGTCCTTCTCCCTAAAGGACAAACAAAATCAACTGATGTTTAATAAATGTAGCCACATCATATCTTATCTAAAAAAAATTAAACTAAGTTTTGGTTTATGGACTGATTTATAAGAGCTCTGCCTCACTACTCTTTTTGCATCCTGGTCTACTTAACATTTTGGTTGAACTGGATTAGAATGTGGTGGTAAATAAATCACTAAAACTGCTATTTTCAGTTTTTACCAAGAAAAAAAAGATTAGAAGATTAGAAACTACACCTTAGTGTGCTCCTCTGCATTTAGTCTAAGATGCCTCATCTAGTTGATGCTTCTGACGACATTATACGTTATGGATTTCAATCTAAAGCATATTTGTTTTAGTCCAGATGTCTTACAATCTTTACATGTATTTGCATATTGATGCCACCCCCATAATGGAAGATGTTCTGCTGTTCTTCACCTCTTTGTGCAGGTTCTACATGGTTCTGATTCAGGGTCTCCAGATTTCTGATTTCATCTGTAGACCGGTTCTGGCTTCTATCATCCTCAACTCTTCATCTCTTTTCTGTACTGACCTGAAGGGCATCAATGTGGTGGTGCCCTATTTCATTGCTGCTCTGGAGACTATTGTGCCAGACAGGTCAGACTCTACACTAGCAAATATTTACTGTTTCTATCTACCTTCGATCTTACTCTTAATGGTGCTATAGGATATTTTATATTCTCATCCTGTTTTTTTTCTTTTTTCTTTAGGGAGCTGTCAAAATTCAAAATGTATGTAAATCCTACAGACTTAAGGAGGGCTTCCATTAATATCCTTCTTGCCATGCTGCCTCTGCCACATCACTTTGGCAACATCAAATCTGAGGTAAACTCTCCACACTCTGCCCTCTGCTCTCTCTGGCACAGCTTTTTTTATTCATTGGAAATGTATATTATTTTTTGTACAATTTTGACGTAATTACTGCTTTGAATATGTTTTTTTTAGCAGTTGGTCTTTTTTGAATCCGTATACTCAGGTTAAGGATTAGTCGATTAGTTGAAGATTATTTCAGTAATCAATTCATCATACTTAATCATTTCAGCCCTAGTTTTCATACAGGCTAGCAGAAATCGCTCTTCAACATATGCAAATAACGTCTCTCATGCTGGTTCGTGTCCTTCAGGTTTTGTTGGAGGGAAAGTTCAACGAGGAGGACGGCTGGCCTCATGACCAGCCCGTCTCCTTCCTGTCTCTGAGGCTGCGTCTCGTTAACATCCTCATCGGAGCTCTGCAGACTGAGACCGATCCCACCAACACACAACTAATCCTCGGTAAACCCTCCTTCCCATTTCTATGTACATGGCTAACCTACACCAGGGTTTCCCACAGAAAACTTGTTAAGCCCGGTGGTCAGGGTGCCGAGGTGGTCCACTGGTGGTCCACCGTGTTTTTGTAATAAAAGATGTTAAGGTGACATGAAATTTTAAAATATCACTCGGTAATTATACGTTACAGGAAAACATTGCCAGTGAAACACTACTTAAACTCACAACTAGTCTTAAAAACAACAAATCAAAATATACAATTAAAATGAATATCAATTATTTTCACTTCTGTTTAATCCAAATTAAGTCAGCAGTTCCATCAGGCCCCCCAGGGCTTCAGGGGCCCCATAAATGCTAATATTTTAACACAGACCACAGATACATGAATGTAACACTTGTTTATTGAGATGATCAATGCTGCTAAATTTGATTCAATTTCAGCATATATAGATTAAAAATTTTAAATTGTTTAACATTTAAATGTAAGAGTTTAAGGAGCTGGCAAGTTTACTTTGTAAAAGTTCAAGAACAATATTCATAGTTAGATTGTTTAGTTACCATAGCAACAATCTGATGCTGTGAGTTTAATCTTTAAGTTTGAGCTCTGTTTGTTCACAAATACAATTTAGTAAACTGCAATTAATTAAAACTCTGGAAAGAATCATAATTCCTCACAGTGGGTTGTTGTA